ATTTCCAAATCTACGAAAGCTATAAAGCTCAGTTTCTAAATCCTCGTTCGCCAGCACAGGTGAATCCCCAGAGGCAAAATTGATGTTCATTTTCTCTTGCTTACCGCCTGCAGATATTCTTACTTACACGTACTAAAATGGTGAGAAGTGATCTCGGCAAGGATGTTCACTTACCGTTTCCTTCAGTCATATTAATTTCGTTAACCGTTGGCCGATAGCGCAACACGATCACGCAGGCCGAAACGATAGTGTATGCGAGGAGTGTTCCGATTGACAAAAATTCTACCAGTGTTTCGATGTCAAACAGAAATGCTATAATAGAAGTGGCGGCACCGAACACGACCACAGCATTCAGCGGCACCTGAAGCAACGTATCCCTCAGTCGATTTGGCCAACTTTTTTCTAACGATTGGTTGTGACTCGATGAACATGCGCATATATACCTGAGTTCTGTCATTCACTTGTGCGAAAGTCTTGAAGATAAGTCCGTCTTCGGCCATCGCGTAAACGCAACGTGGAAGTGCGAACATTGAGCCGATCTAAGACACGATTACTCTAGCAACTTGAAATTGCAAATAAAGATTGTTGCAGTGATATATACAGAAAACAAAAATTAATCAACCGATCAAAAATGTTTCGGCCCACCTATTCGCATACATTCCTATCCAGTACCACAACTGAATAATTAAGATTATTTAAAATATAGATGCATGTAAAGAGAAAATATCCCCCATACGTAAGAAAAATACTGCAAAGTCAACGGCAAGGTTGCTTTATTGGTGTCGTATTTGAAAAGTAGCGCTTAAAAAAATCCTAAATGAAGCACATAGCAAACTTTATTAATTGTCAGCACAATCTCCCAGACCTTCAGTGTGGGACCATTAGCGATGATGAACATCTCTTCAAACGCATATGTTGCGAAATATTCTAGGATTTGATATATTGACTGGGTTTTGGAGTTACTGCGTGCTTTGTTCGCCAGATGGTAGTGCTAATGCCGCAAAAAACTGTACAACTAAAGTGTGATATACAGCAAAGCGGAGAAACTGAAATGGAACAGTAACTAACGAGGCTTGTTGTCATGCCCGACATTGCACCAACCGACACAGCGTACTTGGCCCACGTAGCGCCACGAGTCGCGAATGCGTCTGAGAATGCTGCTGTTGGGTTCACCTGAATTGAGAGAGAGGTCATGAAATGCTTGCTGCCAATTTATCTTTTCCAGACTTATTTACTGCTCGAAATACCGGCTTTCCGCGACTTTTAAAGCAGTCAAAACAAATAATTAACCTGCCAGAATGGAACCATCAGAGTGAGAGCGGTAGCCATAAGAACATAAGCCGTCGTCACGATGGACATCGAGATGAATGTTGCCAGAGGTATTGTACGAGCCGGGTCTAAACATATATGC